GGTGGGGGGGTTGGTTGATGGAGGGTGCTACTGACAGATTGTTCCCTCTTTGCTATGATCTGACGTTTCTCTAACTGTCTGTCTCGCTTTCCACCCATATTATATATCTGCCACAGTGTTCTTTCAATTTCCTTTGCTTGTTGGTTGTAATTTTTGTATCTTTTATTTTTGTTTTTGCAGAGTTTCAACCAGTGACTTGTTGTTGAGAGGTTCGGCACCTTCAAGAGGAACCCGGGCACGAATATAACGCAGATTCCAGTGCAGTCTGTACGATTTTGATTGTCCAAAGAAACCTTTGTGTACCCGGTGACGTCAAGAACTGGCCTACACCTGGACCAGGTCAATACGGAGCACCGCGCCAAGTGATTTCAATGGATTGTACAGAAATAAGCTCTTTTAAAGATTGACCACTGCAAAAATGAATGTTGTCACAAAAAGTGTTTACTGAATACAAACCAGGAATATTTCACTCGCCACGTTTCTACAGTGCTCTGTATGTACACATTCCACTCATAGCTACACGGCTTGGTGAAAGTGGTTCACGTTAACGGACACCTGGAGATATAGTTTGTCCTGCTAGTTAAAAGTCCTTCATTAATCATTCAGGTGCTGCTTTTTATTTTCCACTAAGCGTGTGCTGAGAACGTTTTGTTACCTCTTTCGGGATTTACTGATACCCCAAATACTTACGTTTCGTTCGATTATTTCTTACATATTGTGAATGCTATCTGGTTTTCTTACTATTGTTTCTAATCGAGACGGTTTTGATAAAGTATACTTTTACTTGATTCTTATTATTCTAAGCAGTTATTGATTCCCTTCGGTATCTGGACGAAGTCCCGGATATGGTATGAATTCCCACCCCGTGCTTGCAACTTACTTGATTTGTTCGTACATTTGCTTGTGAAAAAGTCCCAGTTTGAAAGTCCATGCAGTTTGGCAATCTGTTTCACTTTGATTACATCCCAGAAGTTTTTCCTGTCTCGTGTTTAAACAGTTTGTAGCCTTGCCCTGTCGACAAACGAACCTTTTCTACTTTCTTTTCCTGTCGAATGGTAAATCAAGCGTGTAAAGGTCCAAACTGAACACCCGATCTAGCCAGCTATAGCGCTTACGTCACGGAGTATTACACATTTGACCTATTTATCACGTGGTCGTCATCTCGACCAATCACTGCGGCTGTGACAGACGAACATGGCAAGCTTCTTCCGCCGGCGTCGAGGCTTCCTGATCAAGCTTCTCATCGCCGTCCCCTGCCTCTACCTCCTCTCCCTGTTCTTCATCGGCAGTGGCAGCAGTGGGGATAAGAAATCCGCTCGCTCGAATGAAGGCGCTGCCAACGTCTACGGCGGAATAGCAAAAGGGGACGGTGGGGGGTTCCACAACGGGAATGTGCGCCGAGACGACCGCAACCTGCAGGAACACGTGCCTGTGAGGAACCCGGAAGCCGAGAGGGGTGGCGCTGGTGGTGCTCTGAAGTTCGACGGTCGTCACCAGGACGAGGTGGACCAGGTACCCCAGGACGCTGGCCGCCACGTGCACGTGATCAACGTGGAGGAGAAGCAGTCCCAGGGCGGGGTGGACAGGACGCAGGTGCGGGAACAGCAGGAAGCTGCAGACCACGAGGCTGACCTTGTGGAGCCCGAGCACGATCCTAATGCGCCTGGTAAGCAGCTCGGTGGGTGGTTGGGCGGGTCCTCTGCTGTATTTTGCTCCTTCTTTCCATCAAACATGTAGCCTATCGTCCAAGTCTGTCATCCTTTTCTTTAGTCTGCTACTCTCTAGCATATCCTTTAATCTTCAGCTCGTGTAATAATATGATCTATTTGTGTCGCAAATGCCGTAACACTCTTAGCTCATAACCAGGCAGCTTGTTTACACTTCTGTTTGTTTTCTTTGCATAATCTTATGAGATCACAAATTTTGTTAAAGGCTTGACTTAAGACATGGAAGTGTGGTCGATTGCTTAGTGGTTAGGCTGCTGGACCTGTAATCGCCAGGTTGTGGTTTTGTGGGTTCGAGCCTCAGCTCGTTCCGACGTTGTGTCCTTGGGAACGGCACTTTACACGAATTTCCTTCTTTGGCTTGGTCCTTTCGAAGTTAGACTCTAGGGTCCCGCTTTTGAAATAACTAATAGCATAACCGTGTTGATAGGAGCGTTAAAGCGTTACCATTTCACCATATTTTAAGACATAGAATGAAAATGTTTGGTCAAGTAGAGATAAGAATGCCGCCCGACCTCTTTGGGGATTTCCTTACCTTGGTTGTTTTTTTTTGTCTTTGTTTTATTTTTTTGCCGTGTGAAGAACGGTAGAAAGAGGGGGGGGGGGGGG